AAGTCAGAACCCCCAAATTTTAAGACCCAATTCAAAAATGGTCATCTGAAATGAATAGGTACTCCTCAGATGAAGAATAAATAAGATTAAAAAATGAAATACCTGGGAATCAATAACCAAGGAAGTAAAAGACCTTTACATTGAAAACTATAGTAGCCTGAAAAAGGAGATCAAAGAAGATATCAGAAAATAGAATGATATCCCTTGTTCTTGGATAGGAAGAACCGATATAGTGAAAATGGGCATACTTCCAAAAGTGTTGTACACATTTAGTGCAATCTTGATCAAAATACCAATAGCATATCTCATAGAATTAGACAAAAGAATCTTAAAATTCTTTGGAACCAGAAGAGACCCAGAATAGCAAATGCAATTCTTGGCAACAAAGGCAAGGCAGGGGGCTGACTTGAAATTATACTACAAAGCTACTGAGATTAAAAACAGCATGGTGCTGGCAAAAAACCCCAAACAAACAGACCTGAGGATCAGTGGAACAGATTAGAAGATACAGAAACAACTCCAAACACACTCAGTTAACTTACCTTTGAAAAACACCCTCACTGGAAGAAAGATAGCCTCTTTAATAAATGGTGCTGGAAAAATTGGCTTTCTGCGTGCCAAGATTAAAACTAGACCCATATGTTTCATGATGCCCTAAACTCAAAATAGATCAAAGATCTACATATTAAAACCGAAACACTAAATCTGCTGAAAGATAGAATAGGTAAAACTTTTGAAGATATTGGTGTAGGCAAAAACTATGAACAGCCGGGGATTTAGCTCAGTGGTTCCACCACCTGCCTCGCAAGTGCAAGGACCCGAGTTCGATCCCCGGTACCAAAAAAACAAAACAAACAAACAAAAAAACTTTATGAACAAAACACCGATTGCACAGGAAATATCACAGAGAGTCAACAAGTGGAATCTCATCTTTTTTTTTTTTTTTTTGGTACTGGGGATTGAACTCAGGTCCTTGCGCTTGCACAGCAGGCGGCGAAACCACTGAGCTAAATCCCTGGCCCGAGATCTCATCTTATTAAAAACCTTTTGCACAGCAAAAGAAAGCATCAACAGAGTGAAGAGTCAGCCCACAGTGTGGAAAAAATTTTTTGTTAGCTATTCCTCAGACAAAGGACTAATATCTAGAATAGACAAAGAACTCAAAAAAAATCAGACCTCTCAAATTTAAAGACTCATTGCAAAAATGGTCATCTGAAAAGAATAGACACTTCTTGAGGGATGGAGGGGTTGAAGGCAGGGAAAGGGGGAAAAATAAGAACCAAGAGAGATTATGTAAAGGTGAAAATTTCCAATGATGAATGTCCTTATATTGTATACCTAAAATATACCAATAAAATAAAATTTAAAATGTAGAACATAAAAAAAAGAATAGACACTTCTCAGATGAAGTAGAAATGACAGATAAATATATGAGAAAATGTTTAACATCATTGATCATTTGAGCGATGTTAATTAAAACAACACTGAGATTCCACCTCACTCCAGAAAGAATGACTATTATCAAAAAATCAACCAATAACAAATGCTGGTGAGGTTGGGTGAAAAAGGAACCTTTTACCACCATTGGTGGGATTGTAGACTGAAGGAACCACTGTGGAAATCACTCTGGAGATTCTTCAAAAAACTAAAACTAGAGGTTTGATTTGACTCAGCTATTCTCCTTCTTGGTATCTTTCCAAAAGAATTAAAAGCATCATAGCACAGGAACATATGCGCACCTATGTTTATAGCAGCACAGTTTGTAATAGCTAAATCTTGGAAACAGCCCAAATGCCCATCAACTGATGAATGGATTAAGAAGATGTGGGGTTTTTTTTATACAATGGAGTACTACTCTGCCATAAAGACAGATAATCTTGAGACCTTTCTAGTGAAATGGATGCATCTTGAGGCCATACTCTTAAGTGAAATAAATCAGACACACGTTTAAATACTGCATTGTTTCTCTCATGTGAGAAACTGAAAGTGTAAATAAGGACCAAAACATGTAGTAGATATTGGGAAATGGGAAGAATATGTTCAAATGGGAAGGGGAACAAGGGAGGGGGAGAGGGAAAGGAAGGAAGGGACAAGGAAAAAATGGAAACAAAGCTTTTGTAAGTAAGGGGAAGAAGGGTTGAAGAGAAGGAAGCAGAATGGGGAAAAAGCAAGATATGTTATGTACAGGTAATATATATTATCATGCATATCTAAAATGTACCAATAAAATTTTTTTAAAATATGGAATTGTACCCATTTGATGTATGTCAGACCTGGGGAACCATCCTCACAATCAGGGTACACCTATTGCCACCCATCCCCCCTGAACATCCTTTTCCACTTCCTCTTCTCGTGTCTCGCCCCCAGGCAACCACCAATCTGCTTTCATTACAGATTAAGTTACATTTTTGGAATTTTATATAAATAGAATATTACAGTTTATATAATATGCACAATAATACAATATGTACTCTTTTGGCATAATTCTTTTGAGATTGATTGATGATGTTGGGTGTATCTATGGTTCCATTCCTTTTTGTTCCTAGTACTCTGCTGTGTGGCTCCAGGGTAAATCCTTTTTCCTACTGGTGGACATTTGGCTCGTTTCCAGTTTGGGGCTTTTTATAAGGAAAGCCACTACGAACATCTGTGTACACGTCTTTCATTTCTTTTGGATGAATCTGAGCAGTGGAGTGGGTGGTTGGTATGGTTCAGCCCCTGACCTACAGTTTACATTGTACTGCATTGTTTCATATTCCTGCCAGCACAAGTGCTCCAGTTCTTTCATGTCCCTGTCCATCTTTGAAAACATTGCTCACTGTCTTCTGGCTTGGTTTTTTTCCAACAATAAACCTGCTGTCATCCTTATCTTTGTCTTTATTTTTATCCTCTGAGATAATACACCCTTTCCTCCCTACCTTCCCACCTCTTTTTAAGATTTTTCTCATTTACCTATTTAAACAAGTTGCTTTCAATGTTCCTTGATGTACTTTTCTTCATGTTTCTTTTACCTGGGGTTCATTAACCTTGGATTTATGAGTTTATAATTTCATCACCTTTGGGGAAATTTTAGCCATTATTTCTTTAAATAGCTTTTCTGTCTTCCATCACCCCCAGATTCAGGGACTTCACACATGTCTCTAGGCTGCTTGAGGTCATCCTGCAGCTTACTATGCCCTCTTCCTTTGCTACTTCCGTCCTCACATTCACTAATCTCTGATCTGCTATCTTCCATGTCTCTGCTAAACATGTTGAACCTTTCACCTAGTATCTTAGTCTCCTTATCTGCTAGTTCTGTCACTTTGATTTCTGAATCAGTTTAGATAGATTAGGTTTTTTCCTCATTAAGGTCTCTATTTTCTTGCTTTTTTTTTTTTTTTCTAAGCTTTGAGCATGCGAGGCAACTGCTCCACCATGAGCTTACCCTCCTGCCCTGTGTCTGGTACTTTTGATTCCGTGCAGATATTGGTAGTTGCTAGTTCTCATATTCTCACACGTTCTTAAGCTTTGTTCTGGGATATTATGTCACATGGAAATGCTTGGATCTTTTCAGGCCTGAATTTTTAAACTTTGCTGGATGGGACCAAAGCAGCACTAAGTTTGAGTCTGACTTTCCCACCATTGTGGCAAAAGGGTATGCTGCCTAATGTCCTGGGAATATGAATTTTCTCTCATGGGAACAGACGCCATCACTGGCCCTGTAGGAGTCAGGCACTGGCTCTGTGGGAAGCTTGTCCTGCCCTGAGTGGCTGCTCACACCTGTGCCCTGGATGGAGATGGGGTGGGGTGATGCCCTTGGCCAGGGTTGGGGCACTTTCTCCCTCGGCGCTCAGTCCTGTGGAGTCTGGCCCCTGTCCCCCTCGTCTCCCAGCTGTATGCTCACAACTCGGGCAGACCACGTGGCTGTGGTTGGGCTTCCCAATGATGGGGCCATCTAGGGGGCTCCCTTGTTCCCATCAGCGAGACATTACCACTCTTCACTGCCTTCTCAGGTCCTGTGTCTTAAACTATATATATTATGTGTGTTTTAATGTTTTAAAAGGTAAATCTGTGTGACTCTTACCTTCTTTGGAGTGGATTATTAAAATTGCGGAGGTTGGGGCCGGGGATTTAGCTCAGTGGTTCCAGTGCCTGCCTCGCAAGCGCAAGGTCCTGAGTTCGATCCCTGGTACCAAAAAAAAAAATTGCGGAGGTGACTTTAACTCAGTTCATGAAATGATGGGGCACATTGGTCCAATGCAGTGTCATGCCCTGTGGTCTGGCTGTGAGTCTGGCTTGTGACCAGGGCTGAAGGGCCCCCTGCTTTCTGCCCTGCTATGGGCAGGTGGCACCCGCACCCTGGCTCATGCAAGGAACAAGGATCTGCTCAGTCAGCAGAACTGACAACTGTAACTGTGGTTTACTTTGCTCGTTTCCAATTCATATCTACATGCTTTACTTAAACTTTCTTAGAGAATTTTGTTCACACTTTTTCATCTTATAAAAATCTATTTTTTAAAAAAATGGAAAGTGTGGCCTTTTTCTAATAAAGAGATTGATGCGGTTAGTTTTTGGTGGGAGATTTAAAATCCAAATGTTCTTGTTAGGATTATAGATTATCTGCTAGATTTATCAGTTAAAACTATTTTCACATCTTGGTTATGTTCTTTAATATAAAAGTTGAAAGGTCAAGCATGGTACCACAGCTGTTGTCCCAGCAGTCTGGGAGCCTGAGACAAGATTGCAAGTACAACCCCATTCTGGGCAACTTAGTGAAACTCTGTCCTGAAATAAAAAATTTAAAAGTGGGCTAGGGATGTGGTTCAGTGCAAAGACCCTGGGTTCAATCCCTAGTACTGTTAAGTTTTTGCAACATGAGGGAAAGTATAAGGAAAAAGTATTAAAAATTTAAAATTACCTAAAGCCTCACATTTGGAGGGAACTGTTATTAGAAGTCTGGTATATTTCCTCTTGGGTGCTTTTTAAAAAATTCACATTGTTTCCCCTACTTTCCGTTTCAGTGGAAGACATACGACCCTGCATTTTCCCAGTTGGAAATTTGGTTCCGCTTTGTCTTTGTGGTGCTCACCTTCGTTGTCACTGTGAGTACCATCTGCCGGGTGGACTATAGCTAAGGCCTAGCTGAGACAACGCTGGACTGTGCAGTTATGATCCTCAGAGAGCAAGCTACCCAGAGTTTCCCAACCCTGAGATCTGCCATCCAGTGGGCTGGCCTGATACTACTAACCATTCTGTGTGGCAGCCGAGATACCATGTGCAAAAAAGAATGATGTGGAATCCTTTAGTTAATATTTCTGTGCAGCGTAATAATCATGGCAAATCACTGACTTTCATGTAAATGTTCATTAGTGTGCAGTAACAAATGCCACTGAACCTGTGTGGTAGGGGTTCTGCCTTATCTGAGTGACTTTCTCCAGGTACAGATAAGCTATTGCTGGCTTTTTATATTTGGAAAATTGTGCAAGAGATTTTAGTCTTTGAGCTTTTCAGCAATAAGGCTACAGAGAAGTGGTTTGGAGATGCATGCTTTGGGCTCATTTAGGGCCTGAGGTTTGTGTCCACAGGCGCACTAACTTTGGGGGAATGCCTTATCCTTGGGAACACAAGGGCGCGCCATAGGGCCAGTGTGTGAAGGTAGCGATTTATGAATTAGAGACAGAGGCAGTGTGCTGTATTTAGTGACCAACCTCTATCTGAAGGGTAGCATTCAGCCCTCATCAGCTGTTCACCCCAGTGCTGACGCAGAGGGTGTGACATTTAGGAGATGTGTCCACTCCTTACAGTGGTGGCCCCTCCAGCTGCCACCTAAGAAGTACATGATACTTTGCAGACTCACTCAGTAGAGCAGGATGTAGGCATGTGGTGGGCATGTGACAAGGGCATCTAAAAGTGGGACATAGGCCCTACAGTTGGCTGGGAGCTGGGGCCTATAGTGCTTGTGTCAAGCCCTGGCCTTAGGGAGCCCCAGAGCTCCCCCAGAGAACCTCACTAGTGATGTGGGTGCTGGCATCTTACCTGGCTGGTCTGAAATCTTCACTGTTTCTTGAGGACTGCCTGGTACCTGAGATTTTACTGGGGTCCAAAGACTGGTACTTGAAGCCCCAAATATGTTTGTGAAATGGAGAAATAGACCTGATCCTCAACAGATAACCTGGCCTGGGGAAGTAGCCAAGGAAATCCAGATTGCCTAGAAAATTATCAGCTTATGTCAGATAGAAAAATAAAAAACCCCAGGCCTGATCATCAAAGATTAAATAATGTTTTAAAGTGGCTTAAGGATACTTCCTAGGGCCCCCATACCTACTCCAGGATGCCATCTGTATAAGCTGCCCTGTTGGAATGTGTGGCCTCTTGGTGGGGTCCACAGATGTGCCTGTGTCTTATTTGTCATTGATGCCCCCTGGGACCTCATAGCTGGTTCAGCCAGGGTTTAACCAGATTCTGTCCTGACCGCAGACCAGTGTGGGATAGGGGACATACCTGGATGGGGAGGCAGGGCATGAGCAGTCACCGGCGTCTGTTTGGTCTGCAGTGCCTGTTTGCACATTCCCTGCGCAAGTTCTCCATGAGAGACTGGGGCATCGAACAGAAGTGGATGTCTGTCCTCCTGCCGCTGCTGCTGCTGTACAATGGTAGGTGCTCTTTTTACCCTGGCACTTTCCCCTTTCAGACTGAAAGCTGGCAGGCATCTTGGAAGTGGCCTGGTCCCAGAGTCCCCAGAGGGAGGAGCCTGTGGGGAGCCCCTGATGGAGTGTGTAGTGGCACACTGCTGCTTCCCAGGTGCCATTTCATACAGGCCATGGCAGATGCTCGGATCTTTAACACACAGCTACAGACGCAGTAGGCCTGGAACTTGGCTGAAGATACCCACACGCTGCCTCTTCCTCTGTCCCTGCTCCAGAAAGCATTTGCTTCCTCGGAATTCCCAGGCCTGTGGGAGGAGCTGATGCAGGGGCAGACGGCTCTCTGTTGTGATCACTGCAGCAATCTGTTCAGTGGATTTTAGGCATTTTGAAAACAAAATAGCAGCTGGGCATGGTGGCATAGTCTAATCCAGTACTCTGGGAGCCTGAGATAAGAGGATCGCAGGCTTGAGCCCAGTCTGGGCAACTTAGTAACTTAGCAAGACCCTGTCTCAAAATTTAAAAAATAAAAAAAGGTCTGGGGATGTAGCTCAGTGCAAAGGCCCTGGATTTAATCCTGCATGGTGCAGAAAAAGAAAACAAAACAGAAATAGCCTTTGGTTCACTGCCTTTCCTTTGGCTGTGACTGAAGAGAAGCAGTAGTGTGCTTTGACCTCGAAGGGAATGCACTTTGCTGGTTGTGGCCTATCTGGGTCTCATCAGCGTTTCTGTCTCTTCCTTCCAGACCCATTCTTCCCTCTCTCCTTCCTGGTGAACAGCTGGTTCCCAGGGATGCTGGACGATCTCTTCCAGTCTGTGTTCCTGTGTGCTTTGCTGCTCTTCTGGCTGTGTGTATACCATGGGATACGGGTCCAGGTAAGCCATCAGCCAGACCTGCCTTTCCTTCCAAATTCTGATGGAGACCCTGCAGGATAAGTGGCACCATGAAAACCTCTTTGGTCTCATACTGGTAGATAGCAGGATGCACTTAGGTAGAAATGCTTTGTTGGGGTTGTTAGTGTTGCTAGAATTGCTAACTTTATATTCTCTATTTCTTAATTTTTTTTTTTAGGGAGAAAGAAAGTGTTTAACTTTCTATTTGCCTAAATTCTTCATTGTTGGACTATTGTGGTTGGCTTCTGTTACGCTAGGAATATGGCAAACGTGAGTAATTGTGTTTGGTATGAATGGTCAGTCCTGAAAAGCAGGGACAGAGGTGGGCAGACCAGATCTGATGGGGCCTTGTGATCTTATCCAGAAAGACTTGTCTCCCGTATTTCACATGTGTTGGGGTGACTGGAACTAAGGGATTTGGCTCTGCTTGAGTGGCTTTTGAGAACACATGACTCTAGTAGTCTGGGGTGGAAAATGAAAGAGCCTGTATCAGTTTAGATTTGTTCTTTAGTGACAAGGCCATGGTGTTGGGATGATGCTGGGGTAAGCTGTCCAATGTCCAGCAGATGTTATAGGTCCTCCCAAGCCTCTTGCTGTGTCTTCAGATGTTCTAAGCCCTGGTTTTACCCGTGCAGTATTATCGTCCTTCTGTAAGTAGTGCCGCAGCAGAAGCTTGTGTCATAGCCTGATACCCAGGCAGGACTGTTTTCTAGTAGTTCCCTGTCAGGGTATGGCTTTGTGGCCACAGTGGCTCATGTGACAATCAGACTGTATGCCTGCCTGCTCCACTTCTCACCCCCAGTTCCCTGTCAGCTCTGCTGCCTGTTTTCGTTTTGCACATTAATCTCACAGAAGTTGGTATTTACCTCTTTTGCTTTCTTTGCCTTTATCTCGTTTATGGTACCCAAGTGTGCCATCAAAAACTGCTCTTCCACTTGTGAGAGCAAGGAATAGGGACTTTTGTAATAAAAAGTTGTGTAACTTCACTGTGTTGATGAATGTGGACAATTAGTAGTATTGAGAGCTTTTTCAATGTGAAATATGAAATTTAGGATTTCTCATAAATTTATAGTTGTTTTTAAAAACTTCTTCACTGTTGTAGCAAGTAGTTTATTTACATTAACGGGTTTTTTTAAAAGCCAAATGAGAAAAGTATAAAATAAAAACTAAAGCTCATTGCTAATGAATAATTTTTAATATTTTTCAGAGTTAATGAATTACATGATCCAATGTACCAGTATCGAGTGGACACCGGAAATTTTCAGGTAAGGTGTGTTAATGAAGCCTGAGAACTTTTTTTTGAATGCCATTTTATGAAATGACCAGTGTTGTAACTTAAAATGTGCTGTTGACACCAGCTTCCTAATTGGCTATTTTGGAGGGGCTATAGATTATTCAAGAGTGGAAAATTTGGGAGATGTGTTTAAATAACATAAAAAGTAGACTTTTAAAACTGTACTTTGATTCCAAGACTGTGGTTTCTGTTGAAGTGCCGGAACACAGAAGGTGTGTCAAATTTTAGGGCAATTAAGAAAACATTCTTGTGCATACTTCTGTTTAAAAGTTTCCAGGGTAAATGGTGTGTCTCCAGTGATGGTGAACCTTTCAGAGCTTTCAAGGATACAAATAGCCCGCTGTGGCACATGTGCCATAGGTTCATCACCACTGACCTAGACAGTGTGACAGGCTAATGTAAGGTCACACCGGGCCTGCGCATGGTGCAGTGCCCTGTGTCACTTCCCTGAAGTTCTTCCTACTCTTGCAGCAAGGGCCCCACAAGTTTATTTCACGTGTCCTGGCTGTGCAGCCCGTTCTGGGCACAGTTGGAGGCCGAGCCCTGGGCAGAGTGCTGGTGTGTAGGTGGGGCCCAGCTAGGAGCCCAGGGGTCACTGCCAGCTGCTCCACAGGCCATGACTGTAGGCCATGACATCTAGACACCAGTGATTTTACTAAACTGCAGGTGGACTTACTTGAGGGCCAGCCTGTCTCGGGGTGGCATTGGAGGAGGTGGTGAGATTTCATGCTGTGTGCTGCAATGTGGGAAGTGTAGTGAGTGGTGGTATGTCAGAAAGAAGTTCACTTTATGTCGAAGATGGTATGTGTACAGGGAGAGGTGGTACTGCCCGCTTCTTAGCTGAAGTGGCATATGAAGTGCTGCTCTTGTTAAGCTGGGGGTATTTGTGAACGGGACTCAGCTCTGCACTCTGGGCTGGAGAGGACTGTTGTCCCAGATATTTGGGGAAGGCTGTGAGGTGCAAGGAGCAGTGGCCACACCCTGGAGATGAAGAGGAGGGGGTGGGGCAGGGAGATGGGCCAGGACACACTCAGTGAGGCAGGGCCTGGGGGGGTGTCAACCCTGGGGAGGCATAGGACCCATTGTCTGAAGGCCAGGGCTGCAGATGAGGTTTTGTAGAAGGGAGAGGCCATATAAGGAGTGAGAGGAAGGAGCTTCATGTCCCACAGAAAAGGTTCAGCAGAGCCCAGGGACAGAGGTGAACGAAACCCCCAGATTTAGGTAAAATAATACAGTGATGCATGCTGATCTGCTGTTACCATTAGCTTTCATCTGGCACCGTCTCTTTGTTCACATGAGAGAGCTCAGGGCAGAGAAGGCCCTTGAGCCAATAGCAGCTGCATGTGTGTGTGTGTGTGTGTGTGTGTGTGTGTGTGTGTGTGTGTGTGTGTGTGACGAAGTGGTAACAGCTCTAGCATCAGAGCCAGGTGACCAGGATCCCCAGAAGGTGTGGGAACAAGAACTCCCTCCTTCCTGGTCTTTTGTTTTTTTTGTCTGTGAAATGAGGCAAAAATGGAAACCCTCATAGACAAGGAATGTAGAGCACCTGACCCAGCAAGAGCAAGTAGAAGGCCGCAGATGAGGCCCATCACGGGGGTTGTTGGTCAGCCCTTCCCTTCCCAGCCAGGCTGTCTGGAGAGCTGTTGTGAGGGACCCACATCTGTTCCTGAAGGACACAGTAAAGGTCAGAAGCTTTTGAGGTGGTTACAGTAGCCATCTAGGTGGACCCCTTTATTTTACAGTGGAGAAAATAAAGCTTAGACTAAAGCCACACAAGTCCCTTCAAGGCAGAAGCAGAGTCTGAGTCCCTGACCTGTAGTCCTGCTCTCTGTGTCATGACCATGAAGGGGTAGTCTGCTGCACGCTGGACAGGAAAGACATGGAAGCCCCTGCCGAGGGGAGCATAGGACCCTGAAGGGAACCAAGGGCTCAGCAGAGAGGGCCTCACCCACCCCCAAGCCCGGCTCTCAGCAGAGCCTCTGGCCATCGCTGGCAGTGGCGAGACTGGCAGGGTTGCAGACACGTCTGCCCCAGACCCCATCTTTGAATCTTTCGTTCCACCCCTCATTTCACTCATGGAGAAATGCTGAGACTTGCCACGGTCCAGGTCTAGCTCTAGTCCTTTGGGTATGAACCTCTGTCCTCATTAGCGGGCTAGGGCCAGAACCCATCCCAGGGAGGGACATGCAGTGGCTGTCACCACTTACCAGATGCCCCTGGCCCCAGGCCCTGGGGCAGGCAGCAGGCATGTTGCTGAGGAAGTTTAGCTCTGGCTTCTCCTTGATGTGCAAGGGCTGGGGGTATTCGTTGAGGGCAATTGCCTGTGTTTATGGAGGACCCCTACCCCGTTCTGTGTCCAGGGCTGACTTTGGGGCTCCAGGTCCCTTCACATTGTGCTTGACTTTCCTGCCAGTGGGGTGCTGGGAGGAGCTGTGTGCATGTGCATTGAGGTCTCTTCTCATTGAAGTGCCATTTTTTCCCCAGGGAATGAAGATTTTCTTCATGGTGGTGGCAGCTGTGTACATCCTGTACCTCTTGTTCTTGATAGTACGGGCATGCTCCGAGCTCCGAAACATGCCTTATGTGGGTGAGCACCACTTCAGGGACCACCTAGCAGCACTAGAGTCCCCCAACTGGAGTCTCCCGATGCTCATGAGGTAGCATTGGGTCCTTGGGAGCCGCAAGAGGCCCCAGTGGGTGATTGGCCATTTGGAGGGAGGTCTTTGAGGTGGAAGCTGGGGGCCTCTGGGTGCTTTGGGGCTGTGAAAACAGCCTGAGTTCTGTCAAGACCACACCACAGTCCTTGGTTAGAGTGATCTGATCACTCTGATCACCTTGATCTCAGGGCTCTTCCCCCATATGTCCCTCCAGAAAGGGATTACATGAGGTCACCTGAAGCCTCCCTGGGTCCTGAGCTGCTCCCTTTTAGCAGCACAACAGGCTAAAGCCCAAGGCAGAGGGTTAGCTCTGGTTGGGGGGCTGGGGGGTGGGTTCCTTGATGCAAGTGGAATTTGCTGAGCATGTTTCTTTCTTTTTTAGATCTCAGGTTAAAATTTTTGACTGCATTGACCTTTGTAGTGCTTGTTATTAGGTAAGACTTTATGTTACAGAGTAACTTTGAATTTTCATTCTACTGTCATGAGCATCTCTTCTGTTTGTGGATTTGATTTGGGGTGGTTTTGCCCCATATATGAAGTCAGTTGGCCTCTGCCCAAGGCTGGATACTGAAGATGTAAGGGCCCAGAAGTGTAGGTTCTGTGTTCAAGGGTAGGAAGGACAGTCACCACAGCACACTGACCCTCGCTGACAGCTGCTGTGTGTACTGCATACTCTGTTGCTGTAAAAGAATACTATGAGCAGGTTGGGGGTGGGGTGGCTTTGGGCCTTGGGATCCTGCTAGTGCTCTGAGGATGGGTGTGAGTTAGTGTTGCAGGTGTTAGGGAGCAGCACACAGTTGGCCCCAGGGAGGAGGTGCTGTGCCCTTCCCGTGGTGCCCTGAGCAGAAGTTGTTTCTTTGAATAAATTCCTAAGAACTATTTGATTGTTTAGAGTTTGCCTCTTGGGTCCGGGGATTTAGCTCAGTGGTTTTGCCGCCTGCTGCGCAAGCACAAGGACCCAAGTTTGATCCCTGGTACCAAAAAATTAATAAATAAGAGTTTGCCTCTATCTCCTAAAATGAAAATTCAGGAGAGTAACAGTCTAGTTATCTGCATTACTTTTTGGTTGTTTGGATGGCAAGTAAGTGGATGTGGGCCTTTTTGTTTACGGGAGCCATCCAGGGCTTCTGGGGACCTGGGCCTTTGCCAGGTTTTCCTGGTTGGCTCTGGAGCTCCCAGCCTCTGAGGGTGAGGACTCCTGTGTAGCCAAGTCCACCCTCCACCTCTGGACATGGGAGTCCAGCTTGGACTTCTAAGTGCACTTTGGTTTCATTCAGCAACTAAAGTCATACAGAAATGCATGTTTTAAATATTGTCCAAATGGTCTCTGCTCAGCATTTAAAGCACACATTGTCTCTATACCTTCTCATGTGCTCCCACTCAACCAGCATATACTAACAAACACACATCCTCACAACCTGTGTCTTTGTCACTTTCTCATCACTGAGACACAATATCCGATAGCCACAACTTAAAGAAGGAGAGGCTTATTTTGGCTCACTGTTTTTAGAGGATTCAGTCCCTAGTTGGCTGGCTCCAAGGCAGGAAAGAAATGGTGGGTCTGGTGGAGGATAGCTGGAAGCAGAGAGAGAAGGAAGGAGTCAGGGAGGGAGAGCTACCCTTCTAGATCATGCCCTCAGTGACCCACCTCTCCCAACCAGACCCCACCAGCTACAATGCTCCATAATCCAGTCATCTTCTCTTTATGCAAAATATATTTAGTCCATACCTAAGAGTTGCCACAGTCTTGACAGTTTCAGTGTTGCTGAAAAGTCCCAAGCCCAAAATCTTCTCTGAAACTCAAAGCAGACTCTTAGCTGTGAGCCCCTGTAAAACTTTTTTAAAAGTTAAACACTTTCAACGTATAAAAGTACAGGATAAACATTCCCATTTCAAAAGGGAAGAATAGGATAAAAAGTGGGACCAAAGCAAGACTGAAACCCAGCAGTGCAAACATAAAATCCTGTAGCTTCATGTCCAGAACCCCTGGGCAAGCTGTGATGAGATATGAATTCCAAATAGCTTGGACAGCGCTGCCCCTGTGACATTGTTGGTTGCAACCCTCATGACTTCTCTCTTGGACTGGCTTTGTGCTCATTCCTTGTGGCTTTCCTCAGATGTTCTGCATTCCTGGCTTCTCCAACTTTCTGGGGTCTCCAACTTCCTGGGGTTCCCACTGCACCTTTGGCTTCACTCTCACAGCTTCATATACTGTTCTCTCAGGCAAACTGCTTGACCTTCCAGGCCTTCTAAAATTTGGGTGGAAGCCTCCTTGACCCTATAACTCTTGCATTCTGCATATCTAAAACCAGCACCATGTCGATGATGCCGAGGTCTATCACCAGCTTGATCAGTAGCTGGGCCCCCTTGAATATTGGCTGCAGCCAGCCCCAAGTGCCTGGATGGCTGAGCACTTTGAACCAAATTCTGGGGAACTAATTCCTTAGGCTGCTGTTCTGAAGCACAGTACTCTGTCTTCTCAAGTGAAAGTTTTATAGCTATAAAGTTTTATACCCTTGAGCTTAAGAAGGGTAGGTTTTTGCTGATTCCTCACATGTCCCAAGCCATTTTTCTTTGTCCTGATGTAAAATACTCGTCTTCTTTTTAATACTCATCTTTACAGCAACCAAGCACTCCTCTGCTCCAACTTCATAGGCCCCAACTTTACAGCAACTTTTTTTCTGGTGAAACTCAAAACTTAAAATCACTCAGCTGTGCCATTTGCTCTTGATTCTCAATGGAGACCTGGCCAAAAGCCCCCAACAGTACCCATGCCACAGCCTGAATGTTAGGCTGCCTTGAAATTTCCTCCACTAGATTAATTAGTCTGCCACCTTCAGTCTCAGTATCCTGCAAAGTTTCAGGATATGAGGGGAATGTAGACAAATTTTCTGTTAGAGGGTATGACATATGGTCTGGAGTCCAACTGCCAGTGGCGTCTTTGTTCCCAACCGAAACCTCCTGAGCCTGGTCTTTACTTTTTCCATTTCTGTCAGCGTTCTGGTCTTCTGAGCTCTGACCAGAATCTCCCATCAAGCTCTGCTCACAGCATTTGAGGGCTTCTCTAGCTGCCAACTTTTCCACAATTCTCCTGTGAACCAATTTCAAAGATTTCTAAACCACATGGTTGGGTAACATCACAGCAATGACCCTACTTCTCTGGTATCAAAACTGTGTTTTAATCATTTTCTTGTCACTGAGACACAATACCTAATACCCACAACTTTAAGGAGCAGAAGTTTATTTTGACTCAGGTTTCAGTCCATGATCAGCAAAGAAGAAACAGCATAGCAGAGGCACAGGGCAGATGAGAAGCTCACCTCATGGTGGCAGGGTGAAGGGAGGAGCCAGGAGGGGAGATGCACTCTTCCAGGTCACGTCTTCAGTGACTGCCTCTTCTGACCAGACAGACCCCACATCCTAACAGCAAGTCAGCTATAATGTCCCTTAATCCGGTCACCTAAAAGCCCCACCTAGGAGCACATGAGGCTCTTGGGGACCATCTAGATATAAACCGTAACACTCTGTCACACCCTCACACATACCCTCACTCATGCCCCCCTCACACATAAACACACATTCCCCTTCACATATACTAGCAAACATCCTCACACACACCCCTTTCACCCTCACACCCCCCGATACACATTCCCCCACACACCTTCTTACATCTTTACACATAGCACACACTCAGATACTCACTTTTTCACTCACATAAATCAACACACACTTCACACACTGTCACCCTCAAGCCTCCCAGTCCGCACACAGCTGCTCCCACTTCGTGGCCTCTGTATGACTCCCTAAGAGTGGTTCTGCTCTCGTGATCTGTCTTCAGATGTGTGTCAAGGGGATTCATGTATTTGTCCCATGAACATCGATCAAGTGCTTGTGCCAGCAGACAGGCACCTCCCTGGTGTGGCATTTATAGTCCACAGAGGAAGACAGGTGACAGCCAAGGAAATGAGTTGCATAAGGGCCCTATGAGAATAAGACAGGCAGATGTGATGACAGCAGAGGCCAGAGGGGTTTGGAGGAGGGGAAGGAGGACCCTGAGAAGATGGGAAGCAGCCTGAGGTGGCAACAGCCTTGGCAAGTAGAGGTGCAGCAGCATCACAGGCCTGAACTGGGAGAGATGGTAAGGGCAGCTGCTCAGAGGTCAGAGTGGGCTCTGCAGGGCACCAGAGTCATAGGGGTTTTGTTCCCTAGTGGGAAAACCCAGGAGGGCTTGGAGCTGGGAGATGAAAGGGATTACATGTTTTTAGACAGTGTGACTGTCCCTCAGAGGTGGGTGGAGGTGGGCTGGTAGGTAGGAGGCTTGGGGGGCACCCATGGGAGGGATGTGACAGCTGAGGTCCTGGTTGTTCCAGGAAGACCAGTGGTGGCCCAAGAAGTCCCTGTTATCGGGATCTTCAGAGCCCTGAACCACAGGTGTTCTGTTCTTGTCACCTGTAGGTCATTGTACCAACAAGGGGGGACGTGATTTAAGGAGAAGCAGCCTCCCTTATGGGAGTCAGTCTGTTCCAGGCATTGATGTTGAAGACAGGAACTAAGGGGGCAGGAGCTGGGAAGGAGAAAACGGTGGGCACTGCTTCCAGATCCCTGGTTCGAAATTGGGGGGTGCTTTACCTCAGATCAACTCACCCAGTCCCAAAGCTGGCAGAGGTCAGGCCCTCCCGGATCTGAGACCAAAGGAACAGAGGCAGGGGGTGGTGAAGGGTGTGTGTGTGTAAATATTAATGAGGTCAGCACACAAGTGGTACAAAGCTAGTTTCACTTCTATTTTTTTACATATTGTCTCCACTCCTCTTTTTTTTAGCATCGTCATCCTTTATTTGAGGTTTGGAGCACAAGTATTACAGGACAACTTTGTAGCAGAACTGTCAGCTCATTACCAGAATTATATCCTTTTCATTGGAGACCAGGGAATGGGTGTGTGGTGGTTGGCATACAGGTCTGGACCCTCAGGGGGAGACACTTTACTCCTTGTGGCCTGTCCTTAGGAGGCCTGGGGACTCGTGTACCCTGACTGTACTAACAGGCATCTCTCACCCTGGGGAGGGTCAGCTAGGTCACCCCCCTCCTCTGTAGGCAGGAAGTCAGACATGCAGGGCTAGGCCAGTACTTGAGATTGGTCACCATGTGTCTGAGTCTGGATCCAAACCCTGACTTCAGTGCTCTGGAGCCTGCTCCACCTGCATTGCTCTTCCTTCCTTGTGCAGGCCTGTGTGGCTGAATGTCACAGGTCTGAACCTGGGTCAGCCAGGAGTGCACCCAGCAGTGGCCCAAGGGCTGATTTGTATGGCAGCGTCTATTTCATCAGCATCCAGGCGATCCCGACATCACTTCTGTGGTGCCTTGGCAGCTTAGCAGGTTGAGCCTGTGTGTACAGGAAGGGGCTCAGAGTAGCGGGGATTCCCTCACCCAGGGCTGGTCAGCAGCTGTTCCTCTTGGGTTCCTTGTCCTCGTTCAGGTGGATGCTAGGTATGTCTCCTCTTTGACCGCCTTGATGGGGATGCTGAGGAAGTTAATCCTTTAAATTCTAGGCTCTTGCCCTGGGACTGCGTATATCCTTAGAATTAATACATGATTTTAAAATTTTTTCTGACTTGATTTCACACTAAGCTATCATCAGATTCTCAAAGGGTTCTGTAACCCAGAGTAGGTTAAGGACAATTGCTCTGAGAGTTTGTTTGAATTCTGTGTTAAAGTATTATATCAGGAGACCTTCCTGACCTTTGTGTGTACATGACTCGGTCCCACCAGATCCTGCTTCCTGCAGTGAGAGGACCCCCACTGAGTGTTGTCTTAGCCCAGTTCCCACTGATGGGAGAGGTCACACTTCACCTGCTAGCTCCTATGACCTGGAAGGGTTTTTGAGGCCTCTGGCCATGGGCTTGATATAGGGAGTCGTGAGGTCTGTGTTATGGGCCCAGTTGTTTATGGTTAGCACCAAAAAGGCTACTGATATGGTTGGGAGGAGGACCAGACTGAGAGTAGAGACACCGGCGTTACCTCCAAGCCCAATGTTCCCTCCCTTGACAGCACCACCGGCAGAATTCTTATCCTTCTATGGCTTGTTGAACTTCTATCTGTACACTTTGGCCTTTGTGTATTCTCCATCGAAGAATGCTCTATATGGTAAGTCACCTCATGTCTGGGTTGCTAGCCAGGTGTCTAAAACAGAAGTCTTTGTTGGTTCAGGACTCACTTACCGGTTTTCTATGAATGCTGGCCGCCATGATTCATGGTGTCTTCTGTTTGGGAAGAGAGGCAAGGCAGTTAAGCCACGAGCCTAGAGTTTGGGTTAGAACACAGCGTATATTGAGCTGTGTTGTGTATTGTAGCACTAGATGAATAACATAATTTTGTTATTGGTCCTGGCACAAGCAGATGCCCATTGGCCACACGAAATAAAGTCTGTGGAATACTAGTTTCCTGACCACTCAAAGGAGAGCCAAAACCTAAAAAACACCCCCCAAAAACCAAAAGGCAGCCCTCACTCTGGGATGGAGGTGGGTGAGAATGGCTGGGACAGATGCAGTATGCTGGTTACGTGGTGCTGAGCTTTCAAGCACCTTCACAAGCTGCATCTCCTAGAGCTTCACAGTGGCCTGATGTAAAAGGAATGACCACTCTCACTTTACAGACAGAGAAACGTAGTGGAGGCTGCTGCAGGCTGGGACAGGTTGGGAGCAGGCAGGGCAGAGCCTTGTGCACAGGGGCCTGTCCCCGCCCCTGCTGCCTGTGTGGACCTAGAAAGTGCAGTTCCCATGCGTAAGCACCTGTGACCACCAGCTGTTTCCTACAGGCCACCCTGTTAATCTGCACAGCTGTCTCGTAGCTGAGAAGATAGACTCCTGAGGTGACTTGTTTAGGTTCACACAGCTATCCCCATAGCTGTGGCAGCCAGCTAGGGTTGGCAGCCAGCTCTTTCAGACCTCTAGCCAGGCCAATAACATAACTTGCTTGAGATGAAAAGGCTTTTGTTGGTTTTCAGAGTCCCAGTTGAAAGACAATCCTGCATTTTCCATGCTCAATGACTCTGATGACGATGTGATTTATGGGTAAGTCACTGTCTCTGTGAAGGCCATTTCATGTGGAGCATTCCCACCTGGCTTTGCATGTCTATGACTATTTCCAAGACATTAGAACGTTACCAGGAGTGTCATCTCATTGCATGGCTGTTTTCATGTTTCAAGCTTAGATTTAGTGGCATCCTTTGCAGAATGCCTGCAGTATGTGCTGACCACAGAAAGAGCAGTTTTCTGGCCGGGTGGGCCCTTGGCATTGAGTGGGAGGAGTGGGCAAGGTCAGGTGGCAACAGAACACTGAGAGGGAAGCAGAATGGCGTGACAGCATGAAGGAAGAGTCACTCAAGACCTGTGAGAGTGGAATGGTGTCAGAGTTCTCTTTTACAACAGGAGTGACTATGAAGAAATGCCGCTGCAGAATGGCCAAGCGATTCGGGCCAAGTACAAGGAGGAGTCGGACAGTGACTGAGTCTGGGCTATGGGAAGGACTTGGGCCAGGTGCCTTCCCTCAGGGACTGTGTCCTGGCCTTCCTCTCTACCTGCTGATGTTCAGACTTTTCTTATAGACAAAAGTTTCCTGCTCCTTATTTGTTTACATATTTTAAAAAGAAAAACCAAACCTGAAGCAAACTTAAAGGTAGGGCCATTTGTTGTCAAGGTGGTCTGTCTAGGTGGAGAAGTTGATAAAAAGTTAAAAAGCCAAATTCTTTTATAGAGATTTCACATGAGAGAGTATGTTTTCAGTGGCAAGGAAAACATTTTAGTAGAAAGAGTTATGTATTATGTTTTCCTTTTTAAAACAATTCACTAATTCCACACCTGTGAACTGCAGTGTCCACCATAGCAGCATTACCCTTCTTTCTTTCTGCCTTTCCTCCCTTCCCCACTGTATTGTTTTGTTTCATATTTTGTTTTCAATACTTTACATTCAAAGAGAAGCCTGCTTCCATTGCTGCCTCTGCTGGGCAGTCCTTGCCTGCAGGTGGTCAGGGGCCTGGATGCCCTAGCATCTAGAATGATGACATTGACTGCATTTGGTGAGCCATGTAAAGGGTGTCAGGAGAATGGTAGTTGGCCAGGCTCCAGCCCTTCACTACCCATGAAGCTGAAGTGATAGTGCCATGGTGATCCAAGGAGGGTAAGATAAGCTGAATGGCACAATTCTGAGATGATATACAAGTTAGCAGGTCTGTGGGCAAGATCTTGTGCCATGGTGCTTCCCAAGGCTCTGCAGGTGTGTACGTACAAGAATAGGAGCATTTCCTGTGGCTGAAGAGGACAGTAGTGGGTGGGCACAGGTGGATTCCCATTCCAGTAAATAGCAGTTTCTGCAACTCCATTGGACACAAAACCTTATAGAGCTTTTCTTTTTTTTTTAATAAAAGCTACATGAATGATTAATATTAGAGATTCTTTATTGCCAAAAATGTTTTTCAGTTTTCATATTTGAAAAGTAGATGAAGGTAAAACATTTTAAGTGGCTGTGTGTAGAGGTAACTCATTTGGAAGTCAGTCCTATCCTTGGTGAGTCCTGCGGGGATCAGGTGAGTAGATGTGTTGCTTTGCAGCAGAGATGTCTAAGGCACTGGTGAAGCGCAAGCATCAGAGAAGGGCATGAGAGTGCAGCTCCTTATTGTCAACTCGGGAGTTTCCTCCACTCCTCTTTGGCCATGCACAGTAATGTCTCTGTTAACGCAATATAATGTAGCCATCCTACCTGCTGCCTTCTTGGCGAACACAGAGGCCTAGGTCCTTGAGCTCTGCAGGGACCAACTATATTCCCTCCATCTATGCACCAACTCAGATTTCCGAGCTGCATGTTAGTCCATTGCAGGTGGTGCCCGGACTCTAGAGATGCTTGGGAGAGCCCATTCGTTATGACTTCCTGTCTTTTTAATGATGAGATACTTTAATATTGATTCCATTTACATTTATTTAAATAAAAAAATCTTGTAAATAGGGCCAGGGATTTAGCTCAGTGGTTCCGTTGCTTGCCTTGCAAGCACAAGGACCCAAGTTCGATCCCTGGTACCAAAAAAACCCAACCAACCAAACAAACAAAAAACAACCTTGTAAATATGAATGTTTGAATGAAAACGGTATAACTGCAAGGGTAATTCAAGTTTACATGATTTTTACATTTGCAATGCTGTGATGACTTTCTGATTCTGTGTACTCAGAGGTATTGAAAAAAACTTTCTCTTACCAAATTTTTACAACTTGTAATAAGACTACTTGTAAATAATTTTATGTATACTGAGGAAGACTGCCTTGTGCTGATTAACAGATTCTATTATGTGATAAAATTGACATGTTTTAATCATTATAAAAGAATCATCAATGATTTGAAATGCTGTTATTTTATCAGTAAATGTAAAGATATTTGAGGCATTTAGCCAGACCTCAGAACTTTTAAAAACTTTGTTTTATAGTGTAATTATAAACTTAAGACCAGTATCCTCATACTTTGATTTTTAATAACATCAATGATATAAAAATGGGCGTATTTTTGTTGGAAGAGGAAAAATTTACAAAGAAAGCACATAAAGAGAGGGATAATTATTTAATCATTCATTTCCAATTTTTCATCTATGACGTGTTATGTATATTATATACTCTATGTAAAAAATTACTTACAGAGCATTTAGCATGTGAATATATTCCATAGGCATAGGTTAAAACACTAAAGTCTGCCAGAAACTTTTGATAGTAACAAGAAAATTGTTTTCTTTGAAGGTATTGTAGTTTTGGAACCTTAAGTTATAAATTCAAAGGGCTGACTTTAGTTCTTTCATGGTAATGGCTTGAATAACTTCATCTTTGGGATTCTTTTATATTGGCCCAGTCTAGGGGAACCTGGATGACGAACAGAGCAATTTCATAGTTTCCCTAGGGAGAGCTTCGTTATCCACATGGGTAAGAGGTCTGCTTGATTTATTATTAAATCATTACAGCATGAGGTGGTGGCGTTTTCTCTCAAGCCCCATTTGAAAGGGTACAGAAGACAATATATATAATATATTTAGGTCTTGGAAGGTTATCACTGTACATAACTGCAATAAGAAACCCACCCCACTAGATAGGTTACAAGACAAATGTCACCAGCCTTAGTATTTTATGAACTATTTATTGAAGGCACAGTTATGATAAATAGGTTATAATATGGCCAGTAACATTTCCTGAATTCTTTCAAGGAGAAAGCGGGCATCCATGAAAGGTATAATTAAAAGGGACTTCTCTATGAACATTTAAGACACTAAAGTGTATTTGTGGACTTTGAAGGATTTAGAAACCAATTGCCTTAGAAGATAGATGTTTGGGGGTGGGGGTGAATCTTTTCCCAAGGCCAAAGGAAGTTGCCGTAGTCTGTATATTATCTTGATGTTTTGGATCTACTAGCAAGTGTAATCACATACTATGAAAAAGAAGAATTTTCTGCTGTTAAAAACTGCCTTTTTATACAAAGACTGTAAATATTTGTAAAAAAACAAACAAAAAACCACTCAAAGCTCAGAAGGACAGAACTGTGTACCAACTGTCAGTGGAGCAGTGTCACCTGATCAGTGATTGTAAACAATCAGACAGAAGTCAATAAAGTTTATTTATGACAAACTTGTGATCTGGGAGTGGCTTCATTTGACCATGTCCCTTTCCAGTAAATATTAATAAATATTTAACATGCAATCTTTAATGTTATTCGTTCTTTGTGCATAGAGCTAATTTTGTCTTTCAGACATGAGTGCTTTAGTAAGAGGGCTTTGAAGATGAGGGCAAGGCATTGTTTGAGCAGTATCCTTCTTACCATGTCTGATGCAGCCCATAGGTGAGCCCCAGAGGTTGATGGGAGGCCAGGCTTTGGGGCTCACCTCCCCACTTAATTAGATGTGTGACTGTAAATCAATCACATAAGCTCCAAACACTTTTTCTGATTTTTAAGTAACTGCACAATTGTTGTGAACACAAAGTAACTGTGAAAGCATTTTATAAGCCATGAAGTATTAAAACAATTTGTGACTGCTACTGAAAAATAAAGAACAGGGGGTCTATCCAGGCATGGTAGTGCATACCTCTAATCCCAGCACTCTGGGTGGCTGAGGCAGGAGAATCACAAGTTCAAGCCTAGCCTAGGCAACTTCAAAATAAATTTTAAAAGCAGCTGGAGATGTAGATCAGTGGAAAGGCTATGAGGTTCAATCCTCAGTGCTGAAACAGGATAGAGGAAGAAGGGAAGGAAAAAGAGACATGGGAGCTAAAGTTGTAATATCACAGCTTGGGCCAAGCATGTATGAATTTTGTCTCACACGTGTCCTACCCCTCAACTTCCTGAATGGGTGGGGGTTTAAGAATGAGGGGTATCTGTCACGCCTAGCAGAGAAATCTCATCAGAATCCAGCAGTGCTGTCAAGATTATGGTCCCATGGGTGAAATTAGAAAATCCTCATGCCTAAGCAGATACAACTTTTATTGTTGTTCCACTGAGGCATCTTATTTGTATATATGTCTGTATTACATCCCTAAAAACAATCCTAGGATTTTTCTTTCCTGTTTTTGTCTTGGTGCTGCTTCTTGGTCCATGAGGACAGTGAAAGTCATATAATGAAACAAAACTGACAGGATAGCAGATTATTCTGCTGTTGTCTACATCTCTTGAGTTACACACAGAGGCTGGGACTCACCTATCCACATTGTTTAACCTGCCTGTGAGGTTCACAAAAATCCCCCGAGCTCTGGGATCCCCAGTGATTTCAACTTTGCCAATGGACGTGTGCTTCATTGTGACAGGAAGTAGTAGGTGACCTTGCAGCATGGCCTGCCAAGAATCTGGCCTTGCCCCCTTCCCCACAGTGCTGATCCCAGAGAGTGGCCAGTGTTTGTGTGTGCTCTTACAGCAGCACAGATGGCAGAAAGCTGAATGCAACTTTTCTTTTTCTTTGGTTTTAAAGGTTCTGAATTCTCTAACCGAAGAATTCACTTGTAGAATACTGTGTGGACTATGAAGAAAAATACAAGCTTTAAATTTGAATAATTTATTATTCTAACAAAAGTATAAAGTATGGAAAATTAATGAATCATTTCAGAGAATAGAGTTTTCTGCTTGCAGAATTCAGTTTTTAGCACCTTTGAAAAAGAAATACAGAGTTAAGACAGGTGGCAATACAGGCTCCAGAACTACCCATGGAGACTTACAGTGTGCAGTTCATATACAAAGCAGTCATTTGGTTTATTTCTCTACATTTTGAGAATGCCACAAAACATACAGTGAGGAAAAAGGTGTCACTGAATTCATGGTTGGTAGTTAGAAGATGGAACAGAAATGCTGAGACAAAAGGAGGTCACAGGCTTGATGAGTCAAATGGACAGTCCGAAGGTGCTGACGATGCAGTACATGGTCTTGTTCTCCCATCGCACAGTGCAGCTCCCTGGGGAGAAAGACAGATTGGCACTGAAAATGAGGAAAACAAGGGAACAGGATCCTCTACTTTCTCACACCAAGGCGAGTAGTCAAGAAACCACTTCTTTATGGTGTACAAATGAGGAAGGCTGGGAAGTCTTCATAAAATGGGGGGTAATGCTTATAAAGATACCTGTCAAGTCATGCGACATCAAAGCACCTATTTCATAAAACATTGTTTTTAATATATCTAAGCATAGTCTGAGAAAGTACTTGAAAACATGAAGATGAAACATGACAAGACTTGACAGATGAAAATTATACACACCATCAGTATTGCTGTCCCAGAAGCAGGAACTCGCTGTGTGTAATCCAGCTCCATTCTTTTGCATAATTACACAGGTCACTTAAATTAAAACAAACTTATTAGAAAAATGTTAGCAAGATAAATTTTGTTTTGCCTTCCTTTAACATATGTATTGTCAAATCCATGGTTGACATTCTTAATAAAAACTACAGGGATACTGCTGGAAGATAAAATAGGTAAAACTCTTGAAGAGACAGGCATAGGCAAGGACTTTCTGAACAGAACCCCAGTGGCACAAGAAATAATACTGAGAATCAACAAATTGGATCATAGCAAATTAAAAAGCTTCTGTACCTCAAAGAAAACAACCAACACTGAACAGAAAACCTACAGAATGGGAAGAAATTCTGCCACCTGTACCTCTGACAGAGGACTGACATCAAGAATATATAAAAACTCAAAAAATTTAGACCCCCAAAATAAAAGACTGAATCAAAAAATGGGCAACTGAAATGAATGGACACTTCAGTACAGATGGCCAATAAATAACCTGAAAAAATGTTCAATATTTCTGGCCATTAGAGAAATACAAATTAAAACAGCACTGACATACGAGATTGGCTATCATCAGGAAAACAAATAATAACAAACGCTGGTGAGGCTGCAGGGGAAAAAAACCCTTTTGCATTGTTGGTGGGAATGTAACGTAGTACAACCACTATGGAGATTCCTCAAAACACTAAAACTAGAGGTTCTATTTGACCTAGCTATTCCTCTTCTAAGAATCTTCCCCAAAGAGCTAAAGACATCATATTACAGTGCCATGTACATACCGATGTTTATAGCAGCACAATTTATACTAGCTAAATCTTGGGAGGTGGCCCACATGTCAAGAGATGAATGGATAAAGAAAATGTTATTTATACACAGTGGAGTACTATTCTGCTATAAAGGACAAACTTGAGGCATTTGTAAGTAAATGAACCCACTTCAAGATGTCATGTTACGTGAAATAAATCAGACACAAGTTAAATATTGCATGGTTTCTGTGGTATGAGAAACCCAAAATATAAAGAACAAAAACAAAGGCTAGATAATAGGATGTAGGGAGATCTTTTTCAAATGGGGAAAGGGAACAAGAGATGGAAAGAAGGAAGAGCTAAGGGATTTAAAAAAAAAAAAAGGAAAGAAATGGAAATAGAACTTTGTGGAATGGGAAGGGGAAGAAGAGTTGGGAGGGTCCGGAAGGGATGGGGGGAAGGGGACTAAAAAGAATGAAGATGTGTTGCATCTACTCCCCATGATAAATGTAATTATTATGTACTGCAAACATGTACTAATTTTTTAAAAAGAAAAAAGAAAATCATAGGAGTAGACTGCTTTGTCCCACTCTACTGACAAATTACCTATTTCTCTTTCTTTACCACTTCCTTGTTCTAAAAAGAAATCATTTCACCATTTCAGTTGTACCAGCAGTCAAACAGGTCAAGTATATGGCAATACATGCCACACAAGTGACCTGTTCCTGGGAGAAACTTTCTTTGACGTCAGGCACTAAATTGCCAGGTTAGCTCTTTCTTTCTGGCACCAGACACACCTCTAATCAATGTTTTAACAAACCAGCACTAAAATCCACAAGAAAGAAAAATCGATTACCGATGTATTTAAATGGTTTTCCCAGCTTGGTGAGTTGGCTTAGAGTTTGCTCTACTACATTGGTGGTCCACTGATTGACTTTGCTGTGCTGGTAAGCGTTACCGCCGATGGCACTTTCGATGGCCTGGAAAACAAAGCACAGGGGTCACAGGTGGAGAAAGAACCGAACATCTGGCGGTTAGTGCCTGAAAAGGGCCAGCCTGGGAGCTGCCGAAATAAAACTTACATAAGATGCACATTTATTTTTAGCCTCCAGGATTATTCCTTTGCAAATATATAGCCTTTGTTTAACAGTGTTATATTGCATTTAAACAAGAATTACATTGGCTGCAAGATCCACTGTTAAACAGTGTCAGATGAATTTAAATTTTGATCTGATTGAATTTAATGTTCACTGCTGCTATTGATATCTGGACATAAGCAAGTTTTTTCCTTACTAAGGCTAGGAAATGATTTGTCTATTTCTTAAAAGTATATTAGATGTTTTTATCTAATACTAATTAATATATATTAATACAGAGGGGGAAGCTGCTCAACAGTGATACATGTTTAAGAAACACTGCCACATCACCTCATGTTTCCTCGTAGGTTGGCAATGTGTACTTTTCAGTTGTACTTGCTGCCTGGTAACCAAGTGAAAGCTAATACAAAAAATAAGTGAGGCAGAACCAGATTCCTAACAAACCAACTCTTCTTGGTTCTAGTTTAAATCATACACCTTCCTGCTCCTCACCTGTTCAAACAAAACATCATACTTTAAAAAACAGTAAAAAGTAAACTTACAGACCTTGCAAAGCAACAAAAAAATCATGTCTGATGTTGAATAATGCATAGAGTAGACGAGAAAATCATTTAGCTTTTGGATATTTTTCACAGAAATAGGTTGTGGTTCTTTATCACTCAATAAGTCAATCCCAAATTACATAGGGAATCTCAAGTGATACCCTGAAAGTCACATCATCTAATGACTTTGAGCTGATGGCTTCAATATCTATGCTCACTCATACCTGGGCAGGGAAGCTGAGTAGGCATACTTTCTGGGTTCATTTGTGCCCTGGAAATTCCAAGCTCTCTGCACCCCTAGAGCAATCTGCTTCCTTTTACTCCCTCACACACTCCAAGGATGCCCACCACAAGGCTTCTGCACATGCTGTCCACAACCTAGAAGCACTGTTTCCTTTTTTTGCCATGTTCATTCTAAATAGGCTCAAACTCCCCTTTTAAATGCTCTCACTGCACCATGTTCTGTGACACCACACAGCAGGTTCCAGCGCATAGCTCCTAGGGCAAGTATCTAAGTCTGCCCTCCTCTCCTGGACTGTAAACTCCAGGTCAGTCCATGGCATGCTCCCTCCAGAGGTATTTTCTGAATGAATGAATGAATGAACAAATACCCCTTCTGTCTCTCAGCCTCCTCCTCATCCCTGGGAGGTACTGTGACCCATAATAACAATGGATAATTTAGGAATGTAAAAAGATCTGCATCACCATGTCTTGACTAACTGGAAGTCGTTAATTTTTTTTTTTTTTGTACTCTTCTTCATTAAACACTGGAAACATTTGTATGGGATGAGTCTTCTCTGCTAAAAGCTTTATAGAATCTAGCTTTGGTAATGGTCAATAATAGTGTCACATAAAATTTCTATCTGATTTAACATATGTTGTTAACATGTTTCTAGGACCAATCTTACCTAGTCATGAAGTAAAATGGTTATTTGAAATAGCAAAACACATAGGCTCAATAATTGTTGAAATACAAAACAGTATTCATATAGTATTTTCAAACTCATCTAAGCCATCAAAGAAGTAGGCATTTCTCCTCTTACCTCTTTTACAATGTTGCTTACTTCATCAACAACAAAAGCAGTCTGTAAGGAAGAAAATTAGGTTAAGTTTGATTTATTTTAAAAAGCTGTTTCCAGTGCACTGATAAATGCAAATTTAGATAAGAACATCACTTAGAAATTAATATTTTAGAAACCACCTATTAGGCTATTCACTTTACTGAGGAATGTACTACAAGGAGACTCTGAAACATTAAGTTGGCCCCCTGAGCACCAAAGAGCTCTAGGGTCAAGCTGCAGTAGGACTAGAATGTGTATGTAATACAAAACATTTTTGTTTTGTTTAAATCATGCTACAGTCTAAGACTTTACTTTAAACTAGCATTCAATCTCCCCTTCCATTTCAACTGTTAGGATTATTAATCAGTACAGATGTTTAATGAATTACTCAACTTATAGAAATTAATTGAAGCAGCTTAGGGATCTACTGTAAAGATTGTAATTCTCTTTCCTGATGTAAATCGATCAGGGGGCATAAAACTTGAGGTTTTTTTCTTTTTTATAAGCCACCATTAGTCACAAAATTTACAATGATTATTCCTGGGGGTTTAGCTCAGTGGCACCTCACCTGCCTTGCAAGCACAAGGTCCTGGGTTCGATCCCCAGTACCAAAAAAAAAATTTTACAATGATTAAACTATTCCTGGATGACAATAGCTTGGTATTGGGAATTGAAACCATGCTAGGCAAGGGCTCTACCACTAGCTATATCCCCAGCCCTTTTAAAATGTTATTTTGGGACAGGGTGTCATTAAGTTTCCAAGGCTGGCCTTGAACTTGGCAATCTTTCTGTCTCAGCCTCTCCAGTAGCTGGGATTACAGGCATGTGGCATCATGCCTGGCTCAGAAATTTTTTCTTAATGCTGTCCTACTTGAAGACTGACTAGCAGCTGACAAGGGAAGTTGGTTGCCAGTAGCAGTCTACTGCCCAAAGCAGAGTTTGCTTTCTTTCCTTTTTACATATGGTAGAATTAAATAGGTAAAGGTCGTCCTGAAAATAACATCAGTCAGGCACTTGCCAATGTGTTTCCTTATAGGAGAACAAGTTACTGCTGAGTCCTGAACTGTTCTTAGCTTTGCAGGGTTGCCCCTGGGGTCCTGCTGGAATAAAGGCAGGAAGCTCTACTTTGGGTAAGGAGTTTTCCTCTATGCCTGGCTGCTGGCCACTGTGGGCTCTATCCTCTTCTAGGGGATTCCTTTTCTTTTCAGGAGGAGCAAGGACTGGCTGTCCATCTTAACTCACTATACTCACAAGAAGCCATACTTGGAAACAAAACCAAATCACCAAGTTAATGACAATGTACAATATCTTAGTATATAATTTCTAGACTCTTCCAAGTGATTAGAGTAATCCTAAACCATAAAGGAAAGTCCCTGTATAACCTTCCACCTGGTTAAAGTATGAAAAGGGTAGAGGGATATTTCAGTGGGAAATAAAGCAGACTGAAAACACTGGACAGTTTCGACTTCTACAAGAAAGCTGAGTGAGTTGAGAGTAGAATCCCCATGAAGTCTGAGTATATGCAGAAAAGGCTTAGGTGAGAGGTTGGTAGGAGGCAAACCTAGCAGAAGCCAGATGTGGCCTCTTCCTCCCAGGGTTTCCATCTTGTGTAAAACACTCTGTGCAGCCCCTTCATTTTACATATAGGTCATTTCTATCTGGAATGATGAATCACTTTGCTATCTCGCTCATGAAAGTCTGAATTAGATTGCAGTAGAAAAGGCTTTCTCTTCCAAGGCCATTTCCTTTTTTAAAAGTTTTACTCGATGTTAATATACACAAGTCATTTTCCAATCTTAGTTAACAGTTTATGGGGGACTGCTAATTCCTTTGATAGCTGCCCCTGAACCAAGGCTTGTCATACTCAGTTGCTATGAGTATTCAAACACTGGTGATACTGCTATAGAAACTGTGTTAGGGAATCAGATGAAAACTGAAACTCTGGAGTCCTTAAATCTAATTTTTTCCCTCAAAACATTCCTCGTTGAAACAGTTTTTTAAAATGGTAACTATTAAACCTTACAGAATTGATCTATAGTTTTTATTTCTGACCAGCTGCACAGTGCATAGCTCTATTTGAATTTCAACAAAGATTACTCAGAAAAAAAAAGGAGGAACTCTTCTAACCAGCCGTGTCCATCAGTTCTGTTCCCTGAATGCTTGTTAGCCTGAAGGAAAAGCCATTTTAACAGCGCTCCATTACAAGAAGCATCTTCTGCTTATTTCTTCTGGGGCAATAACATTTTTTTTCTTCCCACGAGGATTAGCAATCTTATGAACATCGCAAACTCAAGCTAAAATAAAATGTACTTATTCATAGTGGGCTGGGTGGAAGTGGGCGCGGCACTCAAGGACAAGGTGCGGAACGGAAGACAAAGGCAGGTTCTGCTATTTGCACGTCTGCATTGGGCATAGAGCCTGGACATCAGACCCGCTACAAAACAGACTGGGAGGTAGTCTCGTACGCCCACATCGCGCATGCAAACCGTTCCGGACTGCATTAAGCGCAGGCTCCAGTCTGCCAGTCCCGGGACGTGGGGCACCACGGGGGCCGGGTCTGGGTTCCACTCCCCGAGATAAAGGGCGGAGTGATGTCATCCTCCCGACAGACGCTGCGGGCAGCGCAGCCGGGTCACGGGCGAGGTTCCTCGGTGCCGAGAGCCCAGGCGCGCTCTTCGCCCCGTTCCGGGCAGGGGTGGAGGCCCGACCCCGCGCCCTCCGGGCTGGGAACGGAGACGGAGGCCGGGAAGGGTGCAGGGGTCCCGGGCTCCGGGGCTCCTTGCCCCCTGACTGGGGACGCTGCGGCCGGCGCGCTGTGCAAGGAAGGCAACCAGGGATCCCTCAACAGGCCTGCGCCCGCGCGTCCTGAGGTCTCGGCCTCCACCCCCCAGTTGCCCGCCGAGCGGTTACCTCCTCGGAACTCTGGTAGTCTTCCATCTTTGCTCCAGCGCGTCGCCTCTGCCGCCCAGAGTAGAGCGGACTGAGCAGGCGCGCTCAGGCCCCGCCCACGCCCCGGGCACGCCCACTCTGTCACGCCTTCACCCATCCTAGGTCCCCGCCCCTCGGAGAGCTCCAGCCTCGGCGACCTGGGGCGGGGCCCCGAGGTGCACCCCAGTCCTCCGGGAGGTGGTGGTTTCCTTTCGCCGTCAGGGTAGCCTGGCGACCCTCTAAACTGCAGGCACTCATACTAAGCAAAAGTCCAAACTCCAGTTGTGGGAGGGAAGTGTCATCCTGGCCCCTCCCTCCAGCTCGTAGTGTGTGGAGCAATTGGAACTTTCTCGGGCTCGGACAGCTAGTGACCAATTGCAAAGTGAAGGTAAGGTACAGTGTGAAATATTGATTAGGGTCCCCTTGGCTACCCAGGATTAGGATACATACTTTAGCTATCTGAACGAAACTTTAAAGAAGTAATTTTCCGTACGCAGTAAATGAAAAATTTTCCTTTGAGCACCTTGTAAAAATTTTTCGTAGGTTGGGTGGGAGGTCTTGTAAAGTGCAGCACACTCCCTGGCTTCCTTAACCAGAGTGAGCCAAACCTAGATACAGACTTGTATCCAGGGGTCTTTGGGGGAAATGAGCAATTACACTGCGCCCTGGAGGCTCCTCCCCATGAGGGGCTGGGGGCATGTGCGCCTGTTTGCATGTATGCTGAGTTTGGAATCTACTTTTTCTATGCACTTGAATTTAGGGCTGGGGAAGCTCAGTGGTTTTGTTGCCTGCTGCGCAAGTGCAAGGACCCGAGTTCGATCCCCAGTACCAAAACAAAAACAAAATCAAAAACGAAGTTGGGCTGTCTGTCACTCCTTACCCTTCCAAAGCTGCACTGCTGGAACCTGCTGCACTTCCCCCGGGGAAGAGCGGATGGTAAGGATCCCAGGGACTTGGCAGACTAAGCTTCGAACTCCACATTCAGTCCATCAGCAGCCTTTGTTCCTACACTATAGCCTCCTGGCCCTAGCTCAAGGTTGGTATCTCTCAATTAGATTTGATGACAACTGATCCACGGTTTTACTGGGGTTCTTCCGAGGGAACTTCTGTCCCGTTCTGCCTTGCCCTGAGTCAGTAATCCCAACATTAGTAGTCTACAGACTTGCTCCTGGTGGTCTTCAGATAATTAACTTTAACAGGTTAAACAGCTCAACATTTCCTCTGCAGAGAACCCCTTTCTGACCTCTCCATCTAAGGCCGGCGCCCTTCTTATTTTCTGCTCCTGCCTCTTGTGCCTTTCATTCCTAGCATTCCTCTCACTGTAGAAGGATGTATTTATGGTGACCTCTGTGTGTGTGTGTGTGGTGTCTCTCCATCTAGACTCAATTCTTTGCAGGCAGACTTCATTTTACTTCCTCATGTATCCCTTCTTCTGACATTGTGCCTGGCCCACAATGGGCACTCAGTTAAAATTTATTGAATGAATGAATGAATGATTTTCCCAGGGGCGTTAGCTCTGTCCCAGACCCAAATGGAGAACAGGGAGTGGAATGCCTCCTTGTGGGACACAGGGCTGCCAGAGGAGGGGAGAGTAGACCCAGATCTTGTGTCCTGAACATGTGGGCAGGCTGGTTGTGCTCCCACCCCTAGTCTCCTGCTCCTCAGATTCTGAACTTTAGGTTCTTTTCTTATTACCTGACTTCAACTCGCCAGTGTTGCAGTCTTGCGCCTCTGTCTACATAGGGTTCTAGTTCTAACATTGCTTTGTCTTCTTGCCATTCCTAACTATCCCTGAGGCCCTCTTTCAGGTGACCTGGTTCCAGGCCCTCAGTCCCACTGCGATCCTGAGCAAACAAAGGCCTTTTAACTCCGTCCTAAATTTCTTCTGCTACTTTGTTGTGAACTTTGAGTTTGCCTACCTAAGTTTCTTGGAATTAGGTGAAAAACAAAGTCAATAGGTCCTGAGTGACCACCTGCAATTGAAGAGTGTGACTGTTGGGACATCTTTTTTATTTCCTTCACAGTCTTTTAGAAACTTTCCAGTTCAAATAAATTTCCTACATGGCTGCTGTAATCATACATTATGAATGCATAGGTCTTTAATAATATTATAAATAAAGATCACCAGCAGCACATAAATTAGCAGAAAACATGTAAATGTACCTTTTAAAAATTTTTACATAACTTCATAACGGACATTGGGTACCACTCTCCAATTTTAAGAGGACATTCAAAGGACATTCCCACTTACCAGTCCAATTATTTAAAAACAGGATGACCAAAAATTGCATTTTTCCTTTAATTTTTTTAGGTGTGCAAGAGATTAAGTTCATTTTATTTTATTTTATTAAATTTTATTTTATTTTGTCCCTTCCCCCACCTCAAGCCCCATCTGCTCCCTATGTACAAAAGCTTTGCTTCCATTTTTTCTTCTATTTTCACTTTTTTCTTGTCCCTTCCTTCCTTTCTCCCTCCCTCCTCCTTTGTTCCCCTTCCCATTTGAATTTTCCATTAATTTTTATAAGATAATGTAACAGGAAATATAAAAATACAATTTTATCAAATGTATTCAATACAAGAATGGACTGGTTGAATTGACATCCCCCGAGTGATGCTTGGGATAGTCAGTTTGTGAACAAATGCGCTGCCCGAGTGACGCTTAGGGTAAACTGGTTAAATGATCATGGTATTGGTATTTTTTTAATCTCCCCATAAATGGATGAGTTGGTGTGTTTATCTTCTGAACTATTTGTTCTCTTACTCAACACACATACATCAAAACGTTCCCTTTGTGGCAGGCTCTGAGCTGTGGTTGGCACGGCACAGTTGACTAAGACATGGAATTTATGGAATATTTTAAAACTGATTTTTATTAATAGGAGGGTTTGAATTCCCTAGGCTTATGGGATGTTGTCACACACATCACATAATATGAAAATACAGAGATGTGGTATCACATTCTACTCGATTGATGTACAGGCTGTAGGGCTGAGGAATTTAAACCTATGTGGCATTTAGCAATGCATAGTGACTGTTTCCAGCACCTCCATCTTCTAAGAATGGCTGTCCCTCAGGAGCACTGCAGCATAAACACATTGACTCGCTCTGCTAGAAGTCTCTGGTATTCCATTACACTTTAGAATAATGCTTAGTTTCTAGGTAGCAGGTCTGTGGAGTGAGGCGGATTGATTTCCAATTTAGGGGTTAGTCTCAGATTGGCAAGTGTTGTGTGCAGTCACGTTTCTTCCTTGAGTTAAGTCTCTTAAATACCAACTCTGGGCCTGGGGAGTCATTCTATGGTAGAGCACTTGCCTAGCATTTGCAAGGCCTGGGGTTTGATCCTCAGCACCAAAAGACGTCAAAACACCTCTGTTGAAATAGGGACTGGAAATGATGATAGCTTTGTTTAGTAAATGTACCTGAATAGTCATAGTGATCAACAAATTGTCAACAAGTAACATGCATGATACTTCAGTACTATTCTGCTGTTGATGATTTGCAGCCCCTCACAACCAAAATCCTATGGATTTTGCTGGGTTCCTCCCTTTTCCTGTGGCTAGGAGTGCATCCCTGAGATATTCTGTGGAATTGTGCTAAGTTGAGGAAGAGGAAAAGGAGGGGAAGAGCAATGTCAAAACACTCAAGCCTGAAAAATTTAATAGAATGGGAAAGAAAATAAACTTCTGGCTGACCCATCTAAAGTGAGAATCCTGTGCTGAGAAATTGCAGGCTGAGGAGATTAGCTAAGAACTGCCCCTGTTTGGGTCTGGTATGCAGGAGGCACTGGTACAGCTGTGCTGAAATGCTTCTGTACCAACTGTTGTTCTGGCTGCCCTCTGGGGTCATCAAGGGAAAGGGTTTGTGACCTGAGTACTGGCTAAGCAGTGCTCTGGAGTGGCATGTGCCACCTCTGTACACATGATGTCAACCAGAGCCAGGCGTTGGCCACACCTGAGTTAATAGAATCGAGACACTGAAGGCAAGGGGCAATGCCACCTGCCACGCACTGCAGGCTGAAGCTTTCCCTGTGATTCCACCATGCTTTCATCTTGGTGGTTCCCATCTGAGCCACCAGCCCAGCTGCCTTGCCTTTTCAGTGCTAACCAGCATAACCCCCAGCCCTCTGCCAGCCCTTGGTCCCCTTACTTTACTTTCAGATGTAATCGTATGTGTTCAATTTCAGCACCCAGGTACATTCTTTCCTTGCCAGTTCCTTGACCTGTAGCCCAAAGCCTTAGACCATTGTTCTCCAAACTTCTTTAACTATGCCCCTGTAGCAGGAATAACTTTTGAACATGTATCCTAAAGGTATGTTTATTTTTAAATGATACAGTCAACTGTAAATATATTTTTTATAAATCCATTTATTTAACATTAGTAAAGTTAAATTTTAGCTTTTGAAAGATAAATGAGAAGTTCTAACATGCTCTTAGTATTGTCTGTATTATGGTTTGAATTATGTCCCCTCCATAATTCATATGTTTGAGTCAGGTAAGGTTGTGCACACCTGTAATCCCAGCACTCACAGGAGGATTGCTGTGAGTTCAAGGCCAGCCTGGGCTACATAGTGAGTTCAAAGCCAGCCTGAACTACATAGCAAGACCCTGTCTCAAAAAACAAACAAACAAAAAATCATATGTTCACACCACAGAATGTGACTTTATTTGAAGATAGGGTTTTTAATGAAAGGACTTTGTAAAACTAAGTCATATGCTTGAGCCTTAAACCAATATGGTCTGTGTCCTTTTTTTTTTTGATACTGAGGATTGAACTTGGGACCTTGTACCTGCAAGGCAGGCGGCAGAACCACTGAGCTAAAACCCCGGCCCTGGTCTGTGTCCCTTTAAGGAGAGTTTAGGACATAAATGACCTATGAAGACACGGAAAAGGATAACCATCTTCAAGTCAAGGAGTGAGACTTCCAGAACAGATATATATCCAATCTGTCCACTTTTAGTCCCCAGAATCGTGAGAAAATAAATTTTTGTTTAAGCTGCCCATTCTGTGGCATTTGTTACAGCAGCCTGAGCAAATCTCTGTTCCCACTTTGGAAATGGTGATTCTCATCCCAAAAGCATTTTCTTCCAAATATCCCTAAATGGATTGACTCAGCATCTCATGTTATAAACCAGTTTTTCTACTATGAAATAAATAAGCAGTTACTGCTTATTGAAGATTTACTTGGGCAGAGGATCCTCAACAGTGATCAATGTAGGTACCCAACAGATGCACAATGAGGGTGAATGAATGGAATGAGCCTAAGCTATAAGGGAAGCCTGTGACCTTCACCAGGAAATGGGGGCAGGCTGAGTGATTCAATTAAGGTCACTCACATCTGTCTCACTCCAAAGCTCACCGGCTTAATATAGTTTTCCTTTCTGACATTCT